ACCCTGCTAACGCGAAGGCTGGACTGAAGCGTCGACCATTTCTGGCCGGCAACTTTCAGCGTCATTAAGCCGCTGCGCCACCGCGTCCCCCTTTTTGTATGTTTACATGCCTAATAAAACTATTTATTTTGTATAACTGGACCTCTCCTGCTATTAAGTTGGTTCCAGCTGGACTTGCCTTTCAGAGAAAACACCCTAGAGCTATCTTTGATCTCTACAGAGATTTTCCTTCACCATCTCTTATGCCCCTACTTCCTGCTGCAATAATGGCATGGGAAATGTGCTTCTCCAACAATGCACAGTAGCATTTGGAACATAGAGCCATGGGAACAGAGTCAGTCATTAAGGTCCTTCTCACCTAATTATCTCCACCATCCATCCTAGTTGAATGGTTATCTGGTAGGAAGCACAGACACATTAGCTATCTGCATATGATTCCAAATATTACCACATCTAAGGGATCTTTAGTATGTGATTTTAATTTAATATCTAGGACTTATGTTTTCTTTTTTGAATCTTAAACCCCCAATTTATTTTATTTTATTTTATATATATTCACACACCCACACACAAATACATACATGCCACTTCTTAGTTCTCTTTGCTTCTTAAAACAGAGCCTATGTTGTGTGTAGGGTTTTTTTTATATAAGCAGAAAACATGTTATGAAAAAATGTGTCTGAGTTGAACAACTTAACATAATGAATGTATGAGTGAGATAATTTCTGTGTATTAATCAAAACTAGTCACTAAAAATGGTCCCCCCCCCCCAAGTCCTGCTTTGCTGCCTCATCATGACAGCAGGGGGCAGTGGTGTTCCTGGGAGGGATGACCAAAGAACATTGGGAGAGTATCCCCAGAGTATAGATTCCCAGCAGGGTCACTCAAGGCACGAAGATCATCCCAACTGCCCAGCTAAAGCAAGCAGGCACTTATATTGGGCAGCAGTGATATAGGAAGATGCCAGAGGCAGATGATCACTTTAGTGACAATGGCAAAGGCATCAATTCATACTGTGTGGGAGAAGGCAATGATAAACCACTGCTGTATTTTTATCAAGAGGACCACATAAATAGAAAATATAAAATGATTGACATTACAGTGCCAGATGATGGGTTGGATGGTACTCAGGTTGGATGGTACTCAGCATGCTACTGAGAAAGAGCTGAGGATCTTTCAGAGTACTAATGGTATTTATGATGTGGCTAGATTAGAGCCTTTGGGACATCTAGTTGCTGATGTTGCCATACAGGAAAAGAAAATCCTAAGCTACAAAGATAGAATTATAGTAGGAATGTGGAATATAAGAATCATGAAGACAGGAAAGCTCAACACAGTGAAAGAGGAAATGAAACAACTACAAATTGACATCTTAGGCATCAGCAATTTAAGATAGACTGGGATTGGACACTTTCAGTCAGAAGATCACTGTTTACTACTCAGGACATGAAAACAAAGAAGGAATAGCATTGATTTTATAGTTAGGAAGGATATAGCAACAACAGTAGGAAACTGAAATGAAGTAGGACACCTATTTGTCAATTTTTGCCACTCCAATGATTTCTTCATAGCTAACACTGCCTTCCAGCAACCAAAATGATGCCTCTATACATGGCATCACTAGATGTAGTATATAGAAATCAAATTCACTATATTATTGCTAAAACGAGATGGAACAGCTCAATTATAGCATCAGAGACATGGCCAGGTACTGACTGGAACAGATCATGAACTGCCATACTTCCAATGAAGATACTTTGGAAGCTAGAACAGTATGAAGTGGGGGTTAGCTTCTTGTAAGAAAGAATTAACATTTATGGATAGGAATGAAATAGGTGAAGGAAAGGATGAAATAGATGAAGCTATAGTTGCGTGCTTAGGACAAGCAAGTAGAGTGGTTTAATTCATATATATTGCTAAGGCAGAATTTTTAAAAACATGAACAGCCATGATGGGTAGGTTTATAAAATATGCTGACTAAAGACCAAGCCTCATTATGGCTTAATGTTATGTGTCAAGTTAGCTGCATCTTTCATAGTGAAAAAGGTATATGTCAAAATAAAAGTAATATTTTTGGAACCACTACTCCTGAATTGTGGTTGTTCTCTTTCCTTTTTGCCCATAGGACACTGAAGTTGAGAGCTGAAATCTTTTTTTCATAGACTTTTTCTCTTTTGCTATCTGCCAACTGGCAGCTTTAAACATGCTCTGTCCCCAGATGAAATATGTGTTTGTAACTGATCCTTTCTCTTTGACTTACTTCACAATAAAGTTGGCCATTCTTTGATGAAAACTGATGTTCCTGATATTTTTCTTCTTTGTATAATAACAGTGACTTGAACAAGCGTATCCATGAGCCACATTGCATGACTTAGCACTGACATGCAATCTCATCTTTATTGCCAAAACCAAATACTCAAAGAGCAGTTAAGGGTGCCTCCATGCATCTAGCAAAAAATGAGAGCAGATGTACAGAGAGAGAGACAGAATCCAAACACAGTAGAGTAGAGAAAGTTAGATGCTGAATGTAAAAAGCAATGCAATTAAACTGCCTGTTTATAATATAAAAGAATATATATTAATTCCTACAGAAGTGTTAGTGAATTTACATACTGTGTTATTTGGTGTCTTGATTCTGTTGGAGTAACTGTTTGAAGTACCGTTTTTCAAAGCGTGGAAAAAAAAATTCTAGTGGTTCACGTACATAACTTGCTATGGATATGCTGTAAAAATCTTGTTTTTAAAAATGTAGTCTCACCAGAATTGCCTTATGTGTTCTCCAATTTTAGGGTAAAACATTAGCAATGTTTATAATTAGATTTTTTTTCTCTAAATTTTTAATGCTTTAAGATAATCGTGCTTGTGTCATTGGGCTGATTTCTGTGTATTCATGTTTCTGACCTTCTGTTTTATAGCGTATAGGGCATTTATGCTCCCTCTTTCCCTTGCACACTTAGATTCAGTTAATTACTTCTTGGTTAAGCAGAGCAAATTATGTTACTTTCTTTGAATGAAAAGCCCAAAACCACAGATTGCCAGAGCTAATACACAACATATGTAGTTCTTTAATATAGAATGTTTATTTATAACAATGTATTTTTGGGTAAACACTAACTTGAGTCTTTCTGTTTGTTTTGTACAATTCTAATTCTTACTGTCAGTAAAAGTATCATCTATGTAATATTAAAATGAATAGTACGTTTACATTCTTTCTTAGTATTTAAATTACCTGTTTTTACTGATACATTTGTATATTTCTTTGCTTAATCTTAGTTGGGAATTTGCCATACTGCTGTGAATTTAGGCAGCCTAGATATCTTACGTATACCGTAGTTAACTTTGTCAGTGAGCTTTAGGCAGCCATCTCAATGTGTTAAGGGAGGAAAGAATGGAAACGTTTGGAAATGGCTGAAGCAAGATTTTTTTCCAGGAAAACCCTGGACAATAGCTGTGAATAACAAAGCCAGTTATCTAGACAGGAGCTAAGGTAAAAAAGAAATGTCCATATAGATAAGAATGCAAGGAAATGGAATGAGAACAACCAAATATTAACCTGTAAACTGTTTGCTTCTTTGCCCAATCTCACCAAAAGAGTATGCATATTGTTTATAGTTACCTGTTGTTGATTGTACAAGGACACAAAGTGTGCATATTTTGGGGAAATTGTTTTGAATTTAATATATGACCTTTTGTCCGTAGGCGAAAACACATATCCCAATTGGGAAGCTGGAAGCTGCACAGCAGTTCCTGAAAACTATCAGCCCAACGGAGACTAATGATCAGAAAAATAATGGACAGAAAACAGTGACCAATCCAGTAGAGGATATAGTTGCTGTTCCTTCATCTCTACCCAAAATGCCAACAGATAATATTGAGGTAGTCTATGAAATTTGCAACCAGAACGTTGTCATCTTAAAAATACAGAAACTTCTATTTCATAATCAGAGCCAAAATTCACTTTTTAGGATGTAGTCTAATCAAAACAGCTAGGGGAAAGTTCTTGAAAGAAGAGAACTAAAAATATAAATGTGCATTGGGAAGACATGCTTTGTCTTTAAAAGCTCTCCTTCCCAGCTGACAAATCCTTTTTTGACATCTCAGTTAAAGGAAATTTCAAAATGCAGAGTCATTTGCTGAAGTATCTGGAGCATCAGGTTCAAGTAGAACATATACTGCTGATCTACATGGAGCAGGTGTCTCATTCTCAACACAAGCCAGAATTATATATATGAAGGATGGCTACCTTGTTGTTTGTTTGTTTGTTTGTTTAGATGGGACTGTCTCTTGAGTTTTTGTTTCAGGTAGCTTTATTATAGCCTCTTATTGTGGTATTTTTAAATGGAATATGTAGTTTATATTGGATTTTCTTAAAAATGGTCATGAACTGAGACTCTCTGAGTTGTGCACAGAACAAAAAGATCAGGACATAGATTTTATATAATTATATAGATATTTTTAAAAGAAAATTAAATTTACTGTACTTTATATTAACAGTATAGGGTTGGCGTCATACTTATAATATACTTATCTGATGAAGTGTGATTTAAAATTGTAATGACTAAAATTACATTGATTTAAGTGGGTCTATCCTTAACCAACTCATGGATTTTTAAGCGAAAGGTGAGCAAAGGGTTACAGATAAATATAAAATAGATTTAAGCATAGTATCGTAGAGCACAAAGTGTGGCATTTCTAGAGGAAAAAGGAAGAAAAATACAGTCTTGACTGAATTTTTTTAAGGTACCTCACAAGAATTTGCTCATCTATTTGTTGTTGACAGTTTGATAATATTAGATATTTGACTAGTACCAGTAATACCTTCATTTCTTTAGCTTTATTGTTATATGATATGTGTAAATACAATGACCGCAGAGCAGTGTTTGTAAGGCACGGTATTGGATTTCTAGGAGATGTGTGTAACTGCTAGATTTGGGCCATCAGCATTTCTAATTTTTTTTTTTAATCAATGACACTTCACTGCTATCCTGAAGGTAATATGCAAAGCATTTCATTTTCTTCTTAAATTTGATCTGTTAAATTTGGGAACTTGCATATAATATTTTATTTATGCTTGGTTCCCCTGATTAATTGTTTTATTGCATGTAACACTTTATTCACATAACATGTGAATAATACATTATAATGTATTATTTGTGTGTAGATTGTTAAAGAAGAGTGTAATGGCACAATATTATGGCTGTGCCAAGCATTTATGAAATACATTTGTGTTAGTGACCCAACCCTCTTTGAAGCACAGTTAGCTGTGCCCTTTAGAAATCTGCGGAATCTTCCTTGAAAGATCTCCCAGGTTACCTGGATGTTCACAGACAATAGTTTTCCTGGCAAAGCAGCTGTGTGCATGTATGTAGGTAGAGATAATTTGGAAAACCCCTTGAAGCAGCTGTGCCAAACTTTCCAGAGGATGCAGTTGCCTCAACATTTTGAAAATGGATGTTTTACTTGTGCCCGTGTGCTCTGTGAAGCATCCTTTTAAATGCTATGCACAGCCTTATTTTATACTTGAGTGAGGTATTCAAAATCAATTGATTTCATTTAATCCAGGTTAATTTTTCAATTAATTCAGAAACATTATACAGAGGGTTCGGCTGAAATTCAGAATGGTGGATTTTTTCTGCATGGTACCTTTGATGAAGAAGAATCTGCAAAGTCTTTTCAAGAAGCTCTAAATCAGTGGAGAAGTAGAAATTGTTCCCAAACAACTAAAGAAGAACATTCCTGCCAGGTTGGGTCAGGTATTGACTGTGTTTTTGTTCAGCAGAGCTTTCTAAAATACCAGCATAAAAGCTCAAGATGATTTTCAGCCCTAAAAATAGGGGATGGTTACATCTGTTCCTGTATGCAAAACCAATAACATGTTGCCCTGTATTCTTCATGGGCTCATACTTAGTGCATAGCCTATGCTTGTCCGTCTGTCTGTCTCTCTTTTTGTGTGCAAACCAAAGTTACTAGTCACATATTTAATCAGCCTTTCTACTGTTTCACCAATGTTCTAGTTAGTCCCTGGGTTAACAACATCCAGTTTAAGGACAACCCATAGTTAAGAACAGAGCCTATCGTAGCAAAATTTGAGTTAAATACACAATGGTTCGAGTTAATCGCACCATGCTACTTACATAATATTATACAATAATACTGTTCTTGCTTACAGTACATACAAATTAGACTTAAGGACAGACCTTGGGAATGGAACTCATTCATAAATTGGGGACTACCTGTGTTTTAATTTTTAAAAACATTTTTTTTTAAATGTTTGTTTTTTGTTTTTTGTTTTAATTTTTGCTTTAATCTGTAGCTCTGTGCTGATCTTGTTGCTGGGGCCATGGGGAGCTGGCTTATTAAGCCTTAATGGAATTTCAGTGCAAAGAGGTTATGATTGTGGCTGTGTTGATTTTATGAGTTACATGCTAATTCTTGTGAGTATTAATATTCTGGATTATCTTTAAGGATTTTTTAAAAAAGAAATATTCCACCTATTCTGTTAGTATTCTACAGTTAATACTGACAATCAGACAAGGTTTATGCCTTCATATGCTGAAATAGGAGCTAATAATTTTCTCTTATTGTTACAGAAAATTCAGGTACATGTCAGGTGCAGACAAGTCCTCCAATTATGAAAAAGCCTGTTGAAATTGAATTCAGAGAAGATGGCTTGAAATATATGGAAAGATTGTTAATTAAGAAGCATAGAAGGTATTGACTGCATTGCTGCAATAAGTGAGGGAAACTCCATTTTTAAATCAATCAAAGTTATCTATATAATAATACTGGAAAGTATTGCTTTGCAGAAGGGTAACTTATCTTAAATGCTGATTAGCAATGAAGTACCATAATAAATATCGAGGTCTTTTTTGTTACCAGTTATATAGTTAGCAAGCAGTTGCAATGGATTTCAGATTCTGCATCAGTAAAAGAAAATAATTGGAATGAATGTTAGCATTGTAAAAAGTTTGCTATTGAACTTGAATTATTCAGTTGTTTTGAACAAATGTTGAAGAGAACTGAAAAACAGTGGACCATTCTTCAATGTAGCTCAGCTGTAGCTGGTTAGAACTAAATGTTATTTTATTGCAATGTATTTATTATTACAATTATTTAATACAATTATTTGCATCCTCTTTCTCAAACCATTCTAGGGGCTTACAACAGTATATTAAAAATACACAAACATTAAATCTTTAAAAAATGCTGCCCTTTTTCATAAAACTCACTTCCCAAAAGCCCAACGGAGGAGAAACGTCTCCATGTCCTTCCTAAAGGATAAAAGGATGGGGGCTAACTAACCCCACAGGAAAAGCTGTTCCAAAGTAAGGAAGCTGACATTGTGAATGCCATTTTCCATATCCCCATACCCTTGATCTCACCAAGATGGGTTCCTTAGTATCGTCTCCTGGCCAGATCATGTCAGGTGGACAGATTCTACCTGGAGAAGACAATCCCAAATATAGCAAAGGCTCAAGCCCTATAAACTTTTATAAGTAACAATCAGCATCTTGAATTGGACCTGGAATCTTATTGGCAACCTATGGAACTTTCACAGAATAGGTGTGATTCTTCAGAAACAGCTAATACTCACCAGCAGGCAAGCAACTGCATTCTGTGCAATCTGCAACTTCCAGGTCATATTCAAGGACAAACCCACATACAGCAAATTGCTGTAGTCTAACTGAGGAATAAGAAAGACATGAGTAACTATCTTAAACACATCCTAGTCTAGATACTGAAGTTAACCATAGTCTCTCTTGCCCAAAATGTCTACCAGCTATTCCAGCAGGTATCATTGATTGTGCACTAGCTCTTTCTGGCACAGTACAATCCCATTAAGAGCAATAAATGGAAATTTTAAAACACATTCTTCCTTATTTACATTTCTAGAAGTCCAGTTGATAAATTGCCAGATAATATTATAATGGATGAACTAAAACTCAAGGAATCATTGACAAATGAAATTCCTGATACTTGGAGCAGAGAAGAAGAAGAAGAGGAGGAAGAGGAGGAGGTGGAGGAGGAGGAGGAGGATGACATAGAAATTACTCATAATACAGGTTAGTTGGCTTTTCAGTCCACTATACAGCACTGTATACTTCTAGTACAAAACCATTTCAAGAATTCAGTTAGCAAATTAGGCTTTGGGGGAAGTGAAATCAGGGACTCCAACATACGATAGGTGTACTTTTAAACACAGCCATGTAGTGCTACACCAAACCTAAAACAAAGATTTGCAGTACTATTAAAAATTGAAACATATTAGAGAAAATAAAAAAACTACAATCTTTGAACCCATTCTCACTACTTAAAAATCTGGACTAAGCTAGTCCCAAATGATACAATTATAAGTAAAACTATAGTTTTGGGATTCCTAAGTATTGTTATTCAGATCTTTATTTTTCCTTGCTCCCTAGCAAGCATAGAGACAAAGGCAGAGTCTTCCCTCATTTGGAAGCCTAGATAAAGAAATAATCAGCAGAAAAAAATAGCTGGTGTCTTTTTTATCCCAAATCCTTCCAATTAAGAGAAAGCTGCGCTACTGCACTATTACTGCCCTCTGCTGAATGAGAGTTAGGGATCTAATCGAGTTATGCATATGCTCAGGTAAGGAAAGAAAATGTGGGAAAATACCATTTTTTCCCCTTGAGCATAATCAAAACCCTACTAGAGTCTTCTGAGAACCCATCTCATCAGAGGAAAGAGAGTACTTGTCTTTAGAGACAGAATTTTGAACGTCTAGTAAAACACTGTTCAGATAGTGGCACAATTTAGTACGATTCCTACTCTTTTGACAAAAAAGAGCTAGTTAATTTACTGATAACAGTTGCTATTTACCTAGAAAATGTTTTATTTATTAAAATTATGTCCTGCCTTTCTTCTGTATCAGAACTCAAAGTACCATGCATTGGAGTATCAGCTTGTCAGTGGCTGAATAGGACTGCTTTATTTTCATAGCAAGATGGACATTTAAGCTATATTATGTGACCACTAGAAGAAAAGCTTCTATTGGTCCCATATCAGTCTTCACTATAAACTGATCAGCTTTCATTATAAACAAGCAGGAATGAATCATAGCTATTATTCAGCTAGAAGGAATATTTACATAATCTTAAATACATTTAAAAATTGTTGATGAGGTTGTTTTCATTAAAATCAGCAGAAGATATTCTGAACATAGGAAAATTTTACTGCTGAAAAATTGTAATTTTACTTATGCAGTTCTCCATATTCTTACATTATCCATATAAATCCATGTGATTCTCTCATTCATGGTGTTCATATAGCGCAAAATATCATTTTCAATAAAGATACATCTAATTGTAAGTATATTATCTTAATTGTCTCAAACATTCATTCCTAGAATATAAGGCAAGAAAACTTCTTTTTAGTATTCTTTCAACAAGAAGATATTGTTATTCCAGTCATGTAGAAATATTTATTACCAATATTTTAAAAAAAAAAGTCAGTGGCAGAATTTAAATTTTTATTTCCAGCTATAGAATTGAAAAAGTATTGGGCAGATGTTTTGAGACAAAAAGAGCCTGAGACTGTCCTTATAAACTCTGAGCCCTCTTTGAAAATCAAGTTCCTTGAAGACGTAAGTATGTAATGCTTAGCCAGTTCAGTTTTAATTGTGGCACTTAGATATTACAAATGTATAAAATGTGATAACTTCATGTCTGTAGCTTTATGTTAATTATTTAACAACCTATATAACTAAGCCAAATCTATGTGCTATGATCACAGCGATATCCAATGGGACATACTATAATAGGCTTCAACAGAGGAAAAAGATTCTTTATGCAGAACCAAATTCATCTCACGTTAGCAAAACTTAAGCAGAACACAAAAACAGAGTTAACTGTACTGCAGACAGTTCTCACTTAACAGTGGCAACTGGGATCAGAATTTCTGTTGCTAAGCGACGCAATAGTAAAGCACAACATCACATGACTCTGCTGCTTACAGACGGCAGTTCCAGCAGTCCCCAGTTACCATCGTTAAGTGAATCACTGCAGGTCATTAAGCAAGGACCTCATCTGACTATGACTTCTGACTTCCTGCCAGCTTCCCTGTAGACTTTGCTTGTGGGAAGTCAGCAGGGAAGATTGCAAATCGCAATCACATGACCATGGGACGCTGTGATTGTCAGAAATGTGGGCCAGTTGGCCAGCACCCATATCGTGATCACATGATCACAGAACGCACTTTTCACTTGGAATGGGATGAATAGGTTTGTCAGTAAGATAGTATTTTTGAATCATAGCCACTGTTGTTTTATGAAACAAATGCTGAATGAGTTCTATTTACAGTGGAACCTTGGGTTACAAACGGTTCTGTTAACGAACTTTTCGGGTTACAACCAGCTCCGGCCGCAAAATTTTGCCTCGGTTTGCGAACTCCGCCTTGGCGTGCGAACAAC